TTTTTTTAACCCCTATAACTACTCCCAAGGGGAGTATTTATAGAGAAAATTAGGGTTGGGTTCCCAAGCCCAAGGCTTGGGAGCCCAACCCTAATTTTCTCTATAAATACTCCCCTTGGGAGTAGTTACTGGGCTACTGGGCCGAATACAAAGCCACTAATGGGCTGTACAAATGAGTAAGTATAGGATCCGATTCTGGGAGGTCCTCGTGGCCGACGAGGGCACGGCCGACGAGGGCACGGCCGACGAGGGCACGGCCGACGAGGGCACCCGGGTTCCTTGGACTCAGGATCATAATCCGGGTTGGCTTCTTCTCGGCCGACGGGGGCGTCTTGGCCGACGAGGGCGCCACTCTGTTGTCTTGTGCTCTGTTCTCCCGAGTATGTGGGTCCTGGGGCTCAGACCCATATACTCCATCACCTTCATCATGAGGAAACTTAGTGAAGAGATGACTTACTAGTACAAGTTGTAGTCGAGCCTTGGTGCAATCGTGTTAGCTATGATATGAAGTAGAACTTCTTAATCGTTCAACCTCCAAGAAGCAGTCATTCCATCTACGTAGAAAGAAAGAAAAATTGACTGTCAAAACATGGGCGGTCCGCCTACAACCTCTTGTGCCGCTGAAGCAAGCCGACCATCTCCACCCCTCCCGTTTTTCTAAGGTGTCGAGTCGCTGCCAGGGCCACATCTCATCGACGTTTACATCACATAATTGGGTCTGCTCAACAAAGGAAGAAAGGCCATCAAAATCGGTTGCACCCGAACCCTAGACTGCTAGTAGAAATTTGGAAGAGAATGTCGCGATTGGATGAAGGTTTGGAAGAAGGCACTGGGCTTAAACTTCAATGAGAAATTGCTTGACCATCTAGTGTTCTGAGAAGAGCAATGTCGAAAGTGAAGAGGATGAGATGTGGAAAATTAGGGCTAATCTTATATATTATATTTTCTAAGTTAAAAAGAAAAACTAAAATTAAATAAAATGCATTTAGGAGTGTCACTTGTATACACGGATGTAGTAGTATAAAAATCACTGATATATAAGTGTCACAGATTATCTTATAACATAGATAGCGTCACTAGACAAGTGTCACTGTAAGCTACTTTTCTAGTAATGTGGATTCCTGCCTTTCTTTTAAATCTGACACGGTTTCCAGCTCAGGATCAGCCTCCACGGTCCGGGAAGACATCACTGATGCAGCGGTGCAAGGCGATACTGCCCAAGGTGACGTTGGCAAAGCTCCACAAACTGTTACGATTCTGGCATTGAAGCCTTCTCTGGGGACCACTTAGATGTTTTTGACAATGACAACCCTTGAGATGTGCTGCGTCACGAGGTACATCTAGGGAACGCCCGGGGTGCGAGCATTTCTTCTCTGACCACACATTGCGTGAACTCTCGACCTACCTTCTGCTGCCCGTCGTGTACAGTCTGAGCGGCTCATCTCACCCTTTAAAGAGATGTCCAAGGATGATCATGGTTCATCTAGATTCCGTGAAGGCCAGTGTAACACCCCGGCCCCACCGGACCCAAGGAAGTTACTCCAACACACCTTCCAGACCTCTAGTACTGTCCTCACAAACCACCACGAGCCTTTACCGCGCACTTTGTTCTCACTCGTGCGCGCCCTGAGAAACTTCCCAGGGGGTCACCCATCCCAAGACTACTCATGTACAAGCACGCTTAACTTTGGAGTTCTTGGGTGATGAGCTCCCTTAAAAGGAGATGCACCTCTGTTGGTATGAGTAGTACTATTAATCCTCTTATATTAATCTCGGGAATTACAATCACCCCCACTTAGGATCGCAACGTCCTCGTTGCGCCCTTAACAATCTCAATCAAACCCCAGAATCTTGCCCCGCTAAATGCCCGCCCGATATCTAACGAGTGAGTACACTGTCGCAGGGTTGCTCTGATACCACCTGTAACACCCCGGCCCCACCGGACCCAAGGAAGTTACTCCAACACACCTTCCAAACCTCTAGTACTGTCCTCACAAACCACCACGAGCCTTTACCGCGCACTTTGTCCTCACTCGTGCGCGCCCTAAGAAACTTCCCAGGGGGTCACCCATCCCAAGACTACTCATGTACAAACACGCTTAACTTTGGAGTTCTTGGGTGATGAGCTCCCTTAAAAGGAGATGCACCTCTGTTGGTATGAGTAGTACTATTAATCCTCTTATATTAATCTCGGGTATTACAGCCAGCCTGCGGTTCCCGCTCCACCTCTTTTTCATCGAGCTGTTCCAGTGCTTTCAAGTGGTTCTAGATCAGTACATGCCCCATTCTTTGCGGTTCATGGCTGCGTTTATTGTACGGTGCACCACTAGGAAAGTGGACCTGAGCCTGGACCTCTTCCATTTCTTTTTCATACTCTCCCCCCAAAATTCTGATGGGTTACTAAGCATCAGCAGTCGTCCCGGACAGAAGCCATTCCATGTGGTCCCTTCCTCCATTCATGAATGGAAGCACCGGTTTCTATTCGTCCGGTTCCCCGAGGATCAACTGCTCGTTAGGTGGACGGATATCCACCGATGATCGGATCGTCGTGCGTCATCAAGGAATTGGGGAAAGCCATCAAGATCATGCAGGGCGACAAATCCGAGCCCCTGTTGCCTTACTTGACCTTGAAGGAACTTGCTGACATAGGGAGGCCCGTGTCACTAGATTGTTTTCCCCTAGATTCACATCTAGACCCTGGGCGGTCCTGTTCCTTTCTGAGGTGAGTGACTTTAGGATTCATGCCGCTTGGTTCTGATATCCTTTCTTTTTTTTAGGTCCTCCTCCCACAGAAGAACAAGTGGAAGACGACGTGATGAAGCTGAAGCGGGCGGCACGCGTTGCCAAGAACTTGGCTGCCAAGGCCAAAAGGAAAGCTTTTGGCTGCACGGCTCCCATATATGAAGCCAATTCATCTACGACATCTGAGGCCGTAAAACGGGTTGTCAGCATCGATGGGCCTTCTCCCTCTGCCGTCCCGGAAGTCCACCCCGAGGGCCAAAGTGAGGACACTGCACCAGCGCAGGAGGTGTCGCCCCTCCGGGTGGCCGTCGACCGTCAAGTCGGGCATATGAAAGAGAAACCATCCAAGTGGCCTCGCATAGAGGCCTCCGGCCCCTCTGCTTAGGGTACAAATCTACCCTCTCTTGGTCGTCCATCTGTTCATGCATGGAGAGAGTTCATCCTCCAATTGGGGTAGGAGCTGCTGCCTCGACCCTCCCCCGAGGCCATTGAAGGCGCGTTGCTTACGTGCTTCCAGGTAAACTCGTTATCATTTGTTTGAAATTGATTCCTTCCTTTGTTCGGCTTCTAAACCTTACGCTCTTCTGTAGATTGGCGTGTACATCCTCTAGTCTTAGGCTTCCACGGATTTGGATGCTCTCTCAACAATATAGAAGGCCGAGGGTGCTTTGAAAGCGGCTCAGCGGTCCGCGCGGCTGCAAATGGAGGCAGCCGCGTAGCAGGAGAAACATCTCCCGTCCGTAGCGAGCTGTACCGAACCGTACTGAAAATTGGTATGGAACGGGACATGTTCTATATATATTTGGGATGGTACCAGCCCTTTGATTTTTTATTTTTAAAAGAACTGTACTTTGGGATGGGACATGTTTTTTCAAAATAATCATCTCGTACGATCCCATGCTCACCCAAAGTTTTATTGAGCGGTGCGACCCGTATACAGTAAGCGTCGTGAAATTAAATCTGCATGTGCGCGCCGCCACCGCTGTTCGACCGGTCAGGTTGGATTGGGTCGGGTTTGGGTCATTGGTCGGTCAATCGGGTGTTTAACGATCCGCTTAAAGGATATATTTTTTGCAGGAAAGGCACGTCTCTTCAAATTGAAAGAAAGGTCAACACCTTTCATTCAATAGGTGTCTTTTGGGTTAGAGTTTTCTGCCAGAAACTCTACAAATACCCTACAAATTCTGCACAAGGAGCATTCAAAATTGGCAGTCCAAAACACCCTCTCTTCACCGTTACTCTTCCTAAAATCCTTGCATCCTTGAGTTCACCGGAATCCATCTTTGAGAACAAATCAAAACTGTTTCATTATGGGTGATATTTACTCTGTTAATCGGGCAAAAATCATCTTAAGGAGACAGCGCTATGGTTGTGCTTGAATTAATTTTCTGTGTATGCCGCATTTCCTTTTCTGTTTTTCACTTATACCTTCCATGTTAATTTAATGAAGCCTTAGATAACAGTATGCACTGTGGGTACATGAATTAGTCACAAGACTAAACATGTCTTCAATGATCTTCCTCAATAATCATATTTTGGTAAATATTTACGGAACCTATTATAATTTCTTTCAATATAATAACATCATCTTTGATTGAGATGAGACTCGAATTTGTGACTTACTCTTTTGGAGATCGACCGCAACACAAAAATTGTTATAGGTTCGGATCATGGCAGGGATCACTTCATTAAATTCCCAAACTAACGGGCTTGGCTCGGATTTTGTATCAAAGCCACTAAGGTCGAGCCGAATGTATGTGTTGGCTCAGATTTTTTCACCCGTTGTCAAAAGTTGGCTTGCAATTACGCTCGAATGTTGCGTTCCAACAATTGCGAGAAAGACTCAACGGTTTTGGCTCAGATTGAATTCTGGCTCAGACAATATTACCTATGAAAATCGCAGTTGCAAAAAAAAAATGCAGATCAAAATTCAAAATTTTAGTTCGCAAAAATTTGCCCAAGAATCCACTCATGTTTTACAAAATTGGCCGTGATTAATATCCGAGCCAAAGACAAATCATTTTAAAAATCTTATACCGTAAAAATCTCTATTATTGTAAAATGCCTTTATTTTTAGTATAAAAAAATTCGTTTAATTTTTTTCAAAAATATTCTTTCATTCTTTGTTCCAGCCCTGGCTCCTCCCCTGCGCCTAGCCCCATGCCCCCACCTCCTCTACGGTACTTGGAGTCAGAACAACATTAGACATTAATGTCATATTAAATTGGCAGCCTATCGCTATACTAGCCAGGAATAATAGAAAAAAAAATGTCTCATTTCTGTTTTTAGAATACCGACGTACGTACGTAGCATAAAGCCATATATATGTATGTATTGAATAAGACATGCATCATTTCCAGAATGAGATATGAATTTGATGCCCGCTTTCACTGATCCCATAAAGCTTAAATTTGATATATAGAATAATAGAAAGCAGCAACGACTTGTGATCTGCACGTAGCTGTAATTGGACCTGCATGCATGCAGAAGCCAGAAGCTAGTAACGTTACGTTGATTGCAACAGCAAAGCAAACTGTATATGAGCTTTGATCATCTCTGCCACAAATGGTTTGCAGGTGCCACAGCCCACAGATGTTCTGCCCATTTGTTTATACATCCATTTTCGCCATTTCATCAACTTAAACCATGTGCCCATATTAATTTCATGCTTTAATACTAAAATAAAACTCTATTTTGAGGAAGCGGTCCAACTCACTCGTTGCTGACTCACTCTAAGGTCACTAGTACAAAAATGTGTAACACTATAATTGCTACAGTACATCTATTGTTATACCACTTGAACGCAACATGCTAAAAGTGTTACATTTGATATATTGTGACGTTTTAGACACATATGGCTACATTTTACATATGCTACAAAAGTTATACTTTGTTGTAGTGGGTTTTCGGTTCAAACTTTATGAAAACAGTTTCAGTCCTATTTACCTAGCTCCCCTCAGCCCCCCCCCCCCCCCCCCCCCACCACCACATACCACTGGGTAAAAAGAACTACTCCGTATAATACTCTATTGAGTTTTTTTTGTTACAATCTACTAAGCATTTTGACACTGAAAAGTTATATTTTAATAGAAATTTATACCAAATTAAATTAATTGCATTGTACATTATTAACACTTCTCAAAGACTAGATCTAACTATACATATATGGGGCTCCTAGCTAGTCTAGATGTAGTAAAAGAAATTATTTTGTGCTTCAAATTTATTGGTGTGTATACGCGTATGGAGTATATGAATGGTTATGAATAAATAAATTATTTGATTTCAAAAAAATGAGTAAACAGGGGTCAATGTTCTAAAAGGCGTGTGGCGTGACAAAGCGTACGTCAAGGTCAAGGCTCAAGGCTTTGAAGTCTAGACGGGAATAGATGAAGCCTAGGCGTGAAATGCATTTTAAATTTCTATTGATAATAATTACTCCGTATTATATAGCAGTGATATATGAAGAATAAAATAAAAGTCCAAAATATATCATACAAGATTGAGTATAATATTTTACTTTTTTCAGTAATGTTTGTTGTTTTTTACTACTCTGTATTAGATTCAAATATTCAATATATGACATGTTTATAAAAGTATTTTATTTTTAAATGTAATCAGTTTTTTATAAAAAAAAAATCATCTAAAGAACTTCTACCTTTTCATGCTTAAGCACGGCTAGGCTTATATCTCTTCACGTCTTTGATGATCAACTTTTGAGTTGATCGGCTTTTCCACGCCTTTATACAATGTGAGGCATTTTTCTACCGCCTCACGCCCAGGCACGCCTAGGCCTAGTGGCGGAGCCACCTTACTTCAAAGGTAGTGTTCACATGAACACCTAGAATTTTGAAAAATATGTTAATATACATGTATAAATTTAGTTTAATTATTTTCTGTGTTTGTAAATTTTGATTATAGAATTAAATGAACACCCAAAATCAAATCACAACACTGAGTTGACAATTCTAATAGGGAGTAATTTTTTTACTCCCTCCGTCCCTAAATTATCTTCAAACTTTCCTTTTTCGTCCGTCCCAAAATTATCTCCTCTTCCTTCTTTTAGTAAAAAATTTGTGGTTCACAACCATTCTTACACATTCTTACACATTTCTCTCTCCTCTGCACAACTCTCCACCACACAAATCTCATTATCTTAATAAATGTGCCCAGCCGAAAAGGGAGAAAGATTAGGGACGGAGGGAGTAGTATATAGTCAATGATGAAGTGATAATTAGTATCACTGTGGAGTGTAAGTTTCGCATTTCCCGGTGCTGGCTGGTTCGTTAATTTCACATCTCTTTCGGACTCAACTGTCGAATTAAAGACTAACCTGCTCAGTTTCCCGATCCAGTATTTCCAGGCCCAGGCCCACAACTGGATTACATGTGTATATCTGAATGCTGACCTCTACGGCTTCCCCCTTCGCTGTTCTGGTGTTGACTTGGTTTTAGATGGGCCCACTTCAAATTTGTCCAACATGCACGAAGCAAATTAATTAAATATAGAATATTACTCCCTCCGGTCCTTATTAAACTTTACATTTTGACTTCACATATATTAAGGAAATAAAAATGACTTTAGTGTAGAGTACACTGTTTGGCACTGTTTAACACTGTTTGACACTGTTTTGCACTGTTTGGTGTAGATTTGTTTGCCAAATAAGGCAAATAAGGAAGTGTAAAGTTTAATATGGGATGACCCAAAAAGGAAAATGTAAAGTTAATTAAGGACCGGAGAGAGTATAAAATAGTATTTGTAGGGAGGAGGGTTAGTTACCTTTTTTTTGGCAATTCTTTCTAACCTTTTTTTCTAACCTACTTGTGGCCGCAGTGGCGGACCCAGAAGGTCGGAGACACGGGGTCCCTATCCTTTTATATCTCTAATCTCTAATTAATATAAAACTAATAAAAAAATATTAAAGGAGCATAACACTTCTTAAATGGAAAATCATGATCCATAGCCCATAGGTTGAAACGGCTCTTTTTGAATGTAACTACGACGTATCTCGTCTTGAACATTAGGATGAAAATCAGCAAATGTTTTTCTCAATCCAGGATCAGCTTCCAAAGATTCAAAATCAACATGTTGCTCAGGTAGATTATAAGCCAAATTAGCTTCACTTTCAGTAATTACTTCATCAAATTCTTCATTTACTAATGACGAATCATTTGAATTAACACCTGAACTACTCCCGGTACTCTGAGTTCCTTTAAATTTGGGTACAACACCAAAATATCTTTTCATCCTAAATCATATAATATTAAAAATAACATTCATAAATACATAAATTTTAATTTAATCTAACATTCAAAGAAAGTTTAGTAATTATAAAAAAAATATGCAAAGAGCCAAAGATAAAATAAAAATCTGTGGTGGTCGCCTGAACTTTGACGGCACATCGGTGTGGAGCGGAGCTGGAGGCAGCGGCGGCGTGGAGTGGGGTCGCACACTCGCAGAGTCGCAAGATGAATGAAAATCGATCGATGAGGGTTTAAAAAAAAGTAGGCCAAAACGACGTAATTTTGATTTATGTAATTGAGATAAAGTTGGGAAACAAAAATAAAATCTTGATGGATTCGAACTTCGTACCTCATGAAGCAAGCAAAGCCTTATTTCCGCGTGTTCACCAGTTCCACTGCTACCATCTATTTGTTCTTAGTCTGTGTTCTTTGTATATATACACTTATTATATACGGAGTAATTTAATATAAAATATATATAATATATATAGGTATTTTTTTCGAAGACCACGGGGTCCCAGGACCCCGTGGGACCCTTAGTGGGTCTGCCTCTGCTTGTGGGAGGAGGGCTGTTATTTGTTAATTAATTAAATTAAGAGCACATTCGATAATCCTTATTTTGAACTTATCAAACATATCACGCGTTGAATTGTGTAATAATCAAAATAAATAAGATTTAAATTAGTTTTTTGATTGAATTGGATAAACTTACTCAAAAGTGCCAATTTTAGGCAATTCATATGGAGTATAGTTTTTCATTTAATTTATGCACAAAATATATATATTAAATATCATTTCTTCATAATTAAGTAGATTTAGTCAATTAAGCTGATATTATTAGAAGTTCATCAATTTCAACAATTCAATCGATTAATTCAGTTCCATTTTTAGCAAACAAACTCTAATTATGTAGATTCCTTCTCATCGGTTAAAACTAATGTCATATTATCTACTGTGTAATGACTGTTTTGACAACTTTTTTTACTGCAATTATATAACAATCGATATTAATTTTGTTTTTATATCAGTTACTACATAACCAATGTGAAATATCACCTTTTAATTTTTCACATCGGTTGGATTTACATCGATTGTATAACCGATATGAAAAGTTGTAGTAGTGTAAATATCTATGACTTAATTACATTTTTGGATGCAGCGCTGAAGGCTTGCTTGTGACTCATGCAAGGATTTGAACCCTTCAGTCTCTTTATCTCTTCCCTGAAGATATAGATTATTACTAATTAACAACTTCAAATTTGAAAAATAAAACAATATGATCTTAGAAGAAAAATGAGAATGAATCTGGACCGTTAAATTTGCTTTAAGTAGAATTAAATGTGCATTAGATGAAATTGTAATTGCATTAGGTGAAATTGAAATGTGCAGCACAAATGGTACGATACAGACATACAGTGACATTATGTGAAACTGAATTGTGCATTAGTTGACCATGAAATGTGCACTAGGTGATACTGAAATGTGCGAAATAAAATGTACAGTGTGATGTTATTTTTGTACCTTTTATTCCACACATTTAAGTTTCATCTAATGCACATTTGAGTTCAAATTTTTATTCTGCACATTTCAATATCATCTAATGCACATTTCAATTTCACCAAATGCACAATTCAGTTCCACATGATACAATCCAATGGTCCAAATTCATTTTCATTTCTATATTGGGAGTCCGTTCTTACCAGAACCATTCCCTATATATATATATATATATATATATATATATATATATATATATATATATATATATATATATATATATATAGACAAATGTTCATGTCCGGAATTCCGGACTAGAACCGCCATCCGGCTGACGTCTTTTGGGGCCCTTCCGGGTGGCGTTTTTTGATGAAATTTTTATGGCATGTTCTTCATCAAGTCTAGTTTATCCACAAAAAATTCAGCTAAAAACTCAATTGGAAAGGTCGTCAAATGATTTTTGGAAGTTAACTGCGTTTTAAGGGCCGGTCCTGTCCATTTCTGGACCGATGGGTGGTACACTATTTTGGGCCTATATCCATGACAAACAGTAAACCATATTTAGGCAATGAAGTTCATAAAATAAAGAGGAGAATCACTTTATTATTATATAAGTTATATATTTGGACAAAAGTAACAACACGAGTATCGAATAAAAAGAAAAAATATTACTTAAAAATGTTTCTCATAGACCAATGTGAAGCAAATCACTAATAATTGATTCACGTGCAACCTTCTTTCCACTAATAAATATGACAAACAATAAAATTGCCACATATAACAACAATAAACTTTCTTTTGAAAGGATAAATGAACAGAAATATTACCACATATTTAATTCATAAGTTGAGAATGATTTATGGACTGCTGATGAGAGTCTAAAGTTTGAAGTCTCGAAAGAATGAAGGTTTTCAAAGAGACAAAATGTTTGGCTGCCAAGAAAACTTGCCCAAGAAGATTGCAAATCTGACGTTTTCTAAAACTACTATTAGGAACTCAGATATAGCTTATTGAAATTTGAAAACAAATGAATAATTGGGGTGGAATTTGAGAGAAATGAGTTCAAAAATAATTATATAAATTTGTTACGTTATGTTATAACTAAATTGAATAACAACCCTTAAAAGCTAAAAAGATGTGAGGACTAGAGAGACGTGTCTTTTATTTATGCAGCAACAATTGCATTGCTTTTAAAACTACAACCATTTTTGTTAAAAATCAATGTATATATTCTGTTTTAAACTTGTCTCTGTTTAAGACTCTTTATTTATGTTTTAAATTTTCAAATTGTCAACAAATTAATCATTAAGCCTAGTTAATTGAACTTAAGAATAAAAAGAAGCCTATTCCCACTATATACAAAGAAAAAAATTTGGACCTATTCTTTCTTCTATTTTTTTCGGGCCTAGGGCGGGTTCCCCTCTTGCCCCCCTCTCAGATCCAGCCCTGTGCGTTTTATATGTATTTTTAGCACAGTTAACTTCAAAAAATCATTTGATGACCTTCCGGATTGAGTTTTTAGCTGAATGTTTTTGTGAATAAACTAGACTTGATGAACAATATGTCATAAAAATTTTATCAAAAAGATCACCGGAAAGGACCCCAAAAATCGTCGGCCGGACGGCGGTTCCGGTCAGATCTTCTGACCGGAACACTACTATAAATATTGAAGGATATATTACTACGTATTAATTAGATGTGTACATGTACATACTTGATGAAGCAATTGTATGCTGACGGTGCTCGTTGCCTCTTCTCGGGAGCTGCGATGGCACATATCACGTAACTGTATAAGAACGTTATAAATAGGTATTTAACCATTTATTTACACCAATTTAAAAACCAGTGTCTCTTTTATTTAATTTAATTCTCTCTTTTAAATCTCATTTTATTTTACATTAGCACTAATAAGTATATCATTTTAAATCTCATCTTATTTTACATTACTATCTCATCTAATTCTTTCCAAAATGTGACTCATTTACGCTTATAAAAACTTCCCAAAATAAGAATGAAAAAAATCATCTTTAGGAAAGAAACAATGACAGTCCTATAATCCTATTTGAGGAATTGTTAGTTTGAAAAGTATGAATAAAAACTTACCTTACAAACTTAAGTTATAAGAAAAATGTATACTTCATATCTTCATATGAGTTCTAAATTTTAGTTTCCACTATTACTTCAATTAAATGTGAGAAACTAAGTGTGAGGAAAAACAAATGTAGAAAACTATGTAGAAGAGAAGTTATGTATAGGGTGTGTTTGGTCATAAAAAGAAGTTATTAAGTTTTTTTGTAAAATACTTTTATAATGGCCAATTTTCAGTTTTAATAATATCTTTAGCTGAGAACTTCTCTCTTATGTCGGTGTTAACTCCTCAAAGCCTTAAGTAAGATAGGATAATACAAGTAATAATAAGTATATATGCATGTACGTTTAGTGACAGCAATCTTTATATCATCATCAGTCATATCATCGTCGTCGTTGTTGACGTCGTCCAAAAAGGAGCACTTTTTCTTCATGTTTGTAGGATTAGAAGCATCTCCTTTTTCTTCATCAGCTTCACCTTCTTTCGCAAACTGCTTCAATTTTAGCATAATCGAGGTAAAAAAATTACCCGTAGTACATGCATCTATATATATTTGTTACTTCCGTTTCATTGAACTTTGTCAATTTTTCCTTCTTGGATGTTTCCAAAACTATGTCACCTTCAATCTCATTAAAATGACTAATTTGTGATTATACTCGCTTCTCTTTTCTCTATAGAAATCTTAACCACATTATTTTTATTTATTTTATTTCTCATCTAACTTAAAGTTGACAATATCCATTGAAATTAAGGTATCATAGAATTGAACATGCCGTATGTAGTGGTTAACTTTGAAGTAAGGACTAATAAGCTAGGAGTGTTAATTAATTAAAGGTGTTGTACGAAATTTAGATTAATTATTTACTAATCTCTTTGCGGTAGATCTATAAGGGATGTTTGCTAGGTATTAAAAAAGTGTTATTCATCTTTTTGTTTAAAAAAAGTTGAGTTGAAATTGATATTTTCAAATGACAACAACATCTAAAAATTCAAATCAAGTGGAGGAGTGCTTTAATTTAAAATGTTTTTAACTCTTTTTATTACACAAAAGTATTTATATTTATCAAACAAAATCACTTACTTCATTTTATTTTTACAGAATCGCTTTTTTCAATCACAACCAACTTTTAATATTAAGTACTTGTTTTCTCTAAAATGACTTCATTTTTTTATTAACTTTTATTTTAATTATTACCTCATGGTGATGATGATCAAGAGAAGCAAATATATGTAAGGGAAGCTGGAAGCAAGTTCTGATCATCATGTTGACGGAAAGAATGGCTGCACAGTGGCCGCACCTCACCGTCACTACCGCCGTGCATAGACTGCTCCGCGGCACACTAACCTGCAAGCAACCCACCGCCCAATCATTATTACCAAAACAGGTTAAACAAGCTAAACTAATAAACAATAAATATAACTGAACTGCAAATTATTACGTAGTAATAAACAAATCATGTGTTTTTTGTGATTTTATGTATAAAACAGAAAGGGAGAAATGTAATTATTACAAGTAAAATGGTGTTGCAGTAGCCACATTTGACATAGCACAGTTTGTCTTGGAGATTTATGAGAGGGTTCATTGTTGACATGTGTGTGATTTGTCTGGGGCTTAAGAGTTAAGACTGTATGGTAGAAGGGATTCACAAGAAAAGGGTGTCACCTTGAGCAGATATATATGGTAATTTATACCGTGCAATCGGCGCACCATGAGGATGGTGCGCCCGGTTGCAAAACGACGCTGCTTCATTCAAAATGACGCAATTGCAGTGGGTTCATTCCATTATTTTTTATTTCTTATATTGTTAAAAATTGTAATAACTTTTTATTTGATATCTGATTTTTATAAAATTTATATCAATTTTTTTTTATTTTTCATGATCTATCAAACGAGACCAATATTGCTTATGTAATTTTAACAAATTATTTTGAAGTTACATTTGATAATATATCACGAAATTACATCTTCTTCTGCGCGAGTTACATCTTAATATACGCGAGTTACATCTTAATGTATGTGACTTACACCACGAAATAAACCCCTGCTACATCTTTCATTTTTATCATTTGAAAAATAGTGTATGAATATGAAATACAATATACTTATTTTATATATGTGGATTAATAAAATTTTGTATTAAATTGGCAAAGAAAAAAATTAATTCAATTACAATTGAATTAGTTCAAGATAAAGATAACTCAAAAATCACAAATAAATAGATATAACTCACACATAATTACATGTAACTCGCGCATAAAAGTATGTAACTCGTGTATAACAAGATGTAACTCACACATAACAAGATGTAACTCACACATAATAACTTGTAACTGGAGTATAATACATGTAACTTCGTATATTATCAAATGTAACTCCAAGCTAGAAGCAAATTAAACAAACTCAATATCTTAAAAACCTCTAAAAACATATAAATGTGATAAAACAAATATTATAGAAAAAGTGTATGCATATAAAAATATATTACAAAAAATGTATGAATGTAAAAAGTTTAAATTACATAGGCAATATTGGTCTCATTTGAAAGATCATGAAAAATAAAAAATTTTGATATAACTTTTATAAAAATCGGATCAAAAATAAAAAAATTATTAACAATTTTAAAAAAAAGAAATAAAAAATAACAAAGGGTGCATGGTGCGTACCATGCACAGGTTCCACGGTATAAGCAGTGGATATATATGGAGATAAAAGTCCAATACTCCAATATTTAGAATGGGAGTTAGGGGTGGATGATAGGGTGGGGTGGGGTGGGATGTGATAGAGTGAGTTCCAACAAAAAGTGGTATTCTCATGTAAAGTGTGAATGACTGCACTTAGTTTCATGTGTGGTGCATTATTGCCTTCGTATGATACACTTTTACAAATAATAGGATTAGTGACAAAATTTTAAAGTTTCGTGGATTTTAAAATTTTATTCAATATGGAGTCTTAAAAGCCTACAAAAATCTAGGTGTATTCAATATAAACTTTTAAAAGTCTAGGTGTATTCAAACTCCCTTTCATTTTTATTGACTTCTAAAATCATGGATTCTCATATATTTTTAACTCATTCTTAATTAATTCATTAATTTTCTGCAATTGTCTCTTCTCCTCACCAAAGATTTTCGTGAATTTTCTGTTGTCTTATACTCGTCACAAATACGCATAGATGTGATTGCAAATTTGGCTAATTATTTACTCCGGATCACAAACCGGTCAACAAGTCTTGGACTAGTACCGGTCGGGTTGAGAGGTGGGTACTTGAAGTGGTCTCAATATGCAAGATTTGAAAATTAAATTTTGATTTTTTTATCATTTTACGATAAATAAAGTTGAACAACAAGATTCTAAATTAATATTGATACACAAGATACATTTAAAAAACATAAAAATGATATTTCATATGTCATACGAAGAAAAATGTGGGGGTGAGATTAACTAATATATTTAATTGCCCCTAGTCCCATTGCATAATCAAAGTCATTTTATTGGTCACGGATCAGTCCGATGACGACGGCGGCGAACTCCACTATTGGAGGTGGACAAGCAAATCAGTATGCGATCTAGGTGAAAATTTCGACGACTTAGCAGTGGCGGTTTGGATTTAAAAGTCTATGTACTTTTTGAAAGTCTATATACAAATTTATCCATGAATTTAAAAGTCAATAGAATTCATTCATAAAAAAATGTATGAATTTAAAAGTCCATTTACATTTTTACAAGTCCATGGATTAAAAAAAGTCTACCACAATCCATATTCAATACACCCCTTTAATTACGAATATGCCACTTAGTTTTGATCAGTTTTAATGCGTTGTTGGCATATCTAGAGTTATTTAATCATAAATAGATTGCATCAAATCTATTCTTATTTTTTATTTGAATTCATCTATGAGCATATATATGCATCCTATAAATCTTCACAGTTTTTGACAATCTCATCATTTATATATCTATTATTTACATGATTATAAATCTTGACCATTTAAAATATGAATCTATAAGTCCTCTTTAACAAAACAAAAATAGTGAAAGTCGTATTTGAGAAAATATGGTATATTTTTGGGAAAATTCCCGAAATAGGAGTAAAACTTTTTGAAAATTCAAAATATGATTGATATGTTTTTATTGGCTTTTTTATTCCAATATAACTAAAATGATTGAAAAGGACAGAAATGTGACATGTTTTAAACTTTTCCAAAAAAGTGACTAAATGTATTTATTCCTTGTATTTAATCATACATTTATTATTTTAATACTCCTTTTGTATATTTGATTAGTAGTTCATATTTTGCAGCCACCAGCACCTCCAAGGCCGCCGACCCCAGCACCATCGTCACCGTCACCGGCATCAGCACCGTCGTCACCGGCACCGTTGCTGCAGTCACTATCTCAGTGACTCCGGTCAAAGTGACTACCCAGGGCCAAAGTGACTGCCCGCCCACCCACCTGTCGCAGTGACCTCGCCCAAAGTGACTACCCGCCCGCCCACCGGTCAAAGTGACCCATCCAAAGTGACTGCCCACCCACCGACCAAAGTGACTGTCCACCCAACTCTAGGGCTGCACATCGGGCGGGTTGGGTCGGGTTTGCTATATTTTTTGGGCCTACCCGATTTGTTCGGGTTGGCTATTATTCAACCCGCGGTACACAAAATAAGTTGGTAATGAAACCATGCATGAACTGGTCGGGTAGGGTCGAGAATTGAAAAAAAATCACTTCGGGTTGCATCTTTATGTGGAAGATTAATGTAACCAATTTAAAACTCGATTAACTTGTTTTCAAAACACACAAAGAAATACAAGTACTCGTATCTTTTATAAGCAAAACATTAGATAATAGTATTAAAACATCTTTCCCTAAGGGAAGATCATTTAGAAGGAAACATAAATATATAATAATCACCTAGTCAAAATGGTAAATGTTTAATTATAATTCTAGTATCATAAAGTCCTAGATAGAGCACATTGGTCTTAAATTGAAATTATCCAAGAAAATAATGTAGCATAATAATAGTAAAATGAACTTCTTCGATCGGGTCAGGTACTATCGGGTTGGAGATTTTAATTCCGCGACCCTACCCATTAGGTGCGGGTTCAATCATATTTAACCCATGAATATTTTTAAAAATCAAATACTCGATTAAATAGGGTCGGGTAGGGTTGGGTCGGGCGGGTTATGCGGGTTCGGGTTATTCTTGTGCAGCCCTACCCAACTCCGCCCATCACCGTCACTTTCCGATCACCGCCATCTATCCCACCTGACTTACCACTGCCGTCACCACCCCATCCCCAACCCCCAAACCAAGCGCCACGATGCACATCCCCTGCCCAACCACTGCCACTGCCCTCGGCAGATCTGAGACCAAGCAGTCGCCGCACCGGTAGATCTGAAACCAAGCGACCACCGCACCGACAGATCTGAAACCGGCCAAGCGGCCAACGCCCTGGCAGATGTGAAACCAAGCGGCTACCTCTGGACTTCATCAAACCTTAGATCCAGCGACGGAGGTTGGATGGAAAAGAGAAACAGTCACATCAACTGCACCGCCACCCAAATCAACCGTACCGCCGCCCAAATCAACCGCATCATCGGCCAAATCAACCACACCACTGGGATTCGGAATCTCACATCGACGTGGAGCGATGAGGTGGCGCATGAACAGAAAAAGAAGAAAGTGAGACACGGACGCGCTCGGCGGGGACTGTGATGGTGGATGACGGAGGTTGAACGGCCGCCGCCGCTGTGCAGAAACTCAAGAGAGAAGGAATTGATGTGGAGGAGGAGGTTGGAGACGGAGGTGATGCGAAGGATTTGCTGTGCGGAGGTGATGCAATGAGAAGGTTGAATGGGCTGTGCGAAGGATTTGCTTGAGGAGAGTGTGGAGACGTTGGGAGAGAGATGTACAACCTGTCATATTTTTGGGAAATTTGAATATGGTTATAATTTTGGAAAAGAAGAGTCAGGGGGTCATAATCAGGCCATTTTTTCATTTTTATTTCCAAATTAGGAATAATTACCATCATGTTTAGAAAATACTGTCATGTTTAAAGCACGATACAGCCAAAACATGACAGTAATTACTCTTATTTAATTTAGAGAATACAAAACATGTCAACCCTATTTTGTAATACACAAACGTTTTTACTCCTATTTATGACAATTTCTTTAAATTTTACTCTTTTAAAAGAATTTTTAATGCATAGAGATTAAATTTGACTAATGTAGTAATTATTGTTGTACTAAAAGTGACCTCTTAGTTATAGTTTTGTCTATTTAATAAATATGATTTAAATAATATTGTAAGTAAAACCTCTCTTTAGGATACATTATTTCAATTTTTTAATTAATAAGTGACATTATTTATTGATAATAAATTCAAGATCATCTTAAATTGATTAATTTACCTGATTGAGAATGTTTACGCAACACAAATAAACAACCTCACACATATACTACATACATTTTAATTCACACCAACATCATAGAATCTGTTTGGTTGTTATTTTTCCGACTTATCAACTTTATCAGTTAGTTTTATTGTTAGATATTAAACTTTTGTTTTGTGTACCAAATTGCGTAATAATCAGGTTGAGTATGATTAAAGTTGCTTTTATGGCTAGTTTTACTAGACAATATTACGTATTCTTTATTTAAAAATAAATAAATATAATTTATTCATAATTAAGCAAATTTGGTGTAAATTTAGTCAGTTTCAACATTATTCAGTGAACTCTGAATATATAGAACTCTTAATGCAAAGTAAAAGCATTACTTTGATTTGTTATAGAACTTTTCCCTAGAATATTGTTCAAATAAAATTTATGGATAAAATATGATTAAAATGGCTATTTGTGTAACATCATTGTTACAATTTGAACACAATAAATATCATTATTTGTGTAATATTATACCTTCATTCACTAATAATTGTAACATTTTAAATTTTACATTATTCAAACATCTTACTTTGATCATGATTTTATACAATCAAATTATTATGTATAAAATATTATTAAATTTCTCTTAATGTGAACTTCTAAAGTATTAAATTTCTATGATGTTTATTAATACGTAATTAAATGTAACTATAATCAAAATTGTGTGTTGACAAACGTGAAAGTCAAAATGTTGCAATTAAAAAAGAACATAAGTATTACCTCTATCACACTAATACTGAGACATGAGAAGGTAACATAGTTATTAATAAAAGTGAGTTTATATAATTGATACTTGAATTAATAAAGTAACAAAAAATTAATAATGATTTAGAACCACACAAATTGTATCAAATTTGATATCAAACAATCTTAGTAGGACGAATCAAAAAAGAAAGATGAGGTAATCTTAACAAGACGCAGGGAGTAGTAAATTGTTAAAAGCATCTTCAATGCAACAATATGCACAATGCACATGTATCATGAAAGATATAGACATAAAACACAAATTGTTCACATTTCTCTTTCTTTCTTTCTACGGTTTATATAATTTTGTTAAGTTTTTCGCAATAATGTCAAGCACAATATCAGTATCTGGACATCCGTTTTGACATTATGGAGAAGAATTTATCAAAAATATATAAGATTTTTTAATTAAGTAGAGATATATATTGCTCATTAATATTTATGTGACTATCTCTGTCATCTCATTCATATATGCACTATGCATACTGTCTCATGGGAGATGTTATAAGTAGGGAAGGGGAAAGTACCGAAATTTCGTTATACCACATTTACCATATCGAGAAATACCGGGTTTACTGAAAATTTAGGTATAACGACATTTTCAATATGGTATGGTACCGTACCGAATTACTTAAGTATGGTATCGGTATATGTTTTGAAAATAAAAGGTATACCGGTATACCGTTATACCGAAAAAACTGTTAAAATATTTTTTTTTAATTATAAACTAACTAAATATACAATATCATATTAGGGATAAATGATTTTATATCCATGTTGTTTGAATATTTTTATTTTTAGTTGGAGATCACTATGGATTTAATTATAGTTAGGCTAGCTACGAAATTTCCACGTTCACCATTCTCAGTATTGATCAACATATAAATAGGAGAAATTGTTAGAAAATAGAAGAGGTTGTTGGTTGTATGAGTAGAATAAGTGATTTTAGTGAGGTGTAATGTAGATGATGTGTTTTAGAGGAGAGCTCTTGTCTCTAGAAAAGTAGTATTGTATTGATGTTTCTTGGTTTTGCTTGGTATGCAAATGAGTACAATGAGTCCTATTTATAGGAGCTAGAGGATCATTCTAGATCCTTATTAAATGCTATGATTCTAGAGTATTCTACATCTATGTCTAATTAATCTAGATTTTAGATAAGAATTCTCTAGTAGAGAATTTTCTAGAATACTTTCTAGCTTTAACTCTCTAGATCATCTCTAGCCTTTTCTACATAGAATATTCTAGATAAATGCATCACTATTTAATACTCCTCCTTGATGCATTTGTCGGTGACTCCAAGCATTCTTCGCAGAAACTGGAATCTGTCTCTTGGCAGGGCCTTCGTGAAAATATCTGCCAATTGTTCTTCTGTTGGGACGTACTTCATCTCAATATGCCCCTTTGCTTGGACATCACTCAAGAAGTGATACTTGATATCGATGTGCTTAGTACGATTGTGCTGAATTGGATTTTTAGCCATTGCAATAGCTGACTTTTTGTCGCAAAATATTTGAGTCGCAGAACTTTGCAATTCTCCCATGTCTTCTAATATTCTTTTTAGCCATATAGCTTGGCACGCTGCTCCGGCTGCTGCAACATACTCAGCTTCGGCTGAAGATAGTGCAACAAAATCTTGCTTCTTTGATCCCCATGAGAAAATTCCCGAACCCAGCTTAAATGCGTAACCGGAGGTGCTTTTCATGTCATCTTGAGATCCAGCCCAATCACTGTCGCTATATCCAGTTAGTCATGAGTCAGGAGTTGTTTTGTACCAAATACCATAATTGATAGTTCCTTGTAGATACCTAAGGAGTCTCTTTGCCGCTCCATAATGAGTCTCAGTTGGACTTTCCATGAACCTCGAGAGCAAACTTGTAGCATACATGATGTCCGGCCTCGTAGCCGTTAAGTAGAGTAGACTCCCAATCAAACTTCGGTAATTGGTTGCGTCCGTCTGCTTTGACCCATCTTCTTTCTTCAATTTTTCATTAGGAACCAGTGGAGTAACGACGACTTTGCAGTCTTGCATTTTAAACTTCTTTAGCATGTCCTTAATATATTTTTCTTGAGATAAGAATATGCCTTCTTCTTCTTGACTTATCTCCATGCCAAGGAAGTAGTGCATTAATCCCAAGTCACTCATCTCAAAAGTGTTCATCATGTCTCTCTTAAATTCTTCAATTAATTTGGAATTATTTCCCATGACAATTAAGTCATCAACATATAGAGAGACGATGAGAATGTCAGATTTACCTTGGGATTTGATGTATAGTGTAGCCTCGTTCTTACTCCTCCTGAACCCTTGACGGGTGAAGTATCCATCAATCTTGCTATACCACGCTCGTGGAGCTTGTTTGAGCCCGTAAAGCGCTTTCTTTAGACGAAGAACTTTTCCTTCTTCTTTGATGAATCCTTCTGGTTGCTCCACATACACTTCTTCTCGTAGCTCTCCATTTAGAAAGGCTGACTTGACGTCTAGCTGATAAATTTTCCATTTCTTCTGAGCTGCAAGAGCTATGAGTGTTCTTATTGTGTCCATCCGGGCAACTGGTGCAAACGTCTCTGTGTAGTCAACTCCCGGTATTTGAGCATACCCCTTTGCAACCAGCCTTGCCTTATGCTTCTGAATTGAGCCATCAGGGTTCGGTTTTGTTTTATACACCCATTTGACTCCAATAACCTCCTTGTTATGTGGAAGATCTACCATTTCCCAAGTATCATTCTTTTCTATCATTTTGATCTCCTCCTCCATTGCTTTAATCCAAACTTTTTCTTTGGAGGCTTCAGTGTAGCTATATGGCTCCAAGGAGCAAAAGTTGCATGTTTCATAGATGTCAGTAGACTCATATAGGTCTTCTACAGTTCTTACTCGAAGAGGTGGGGATTCTGGCGAGGAGTCGTGATTTCTTGATGTATTAGCTTCAAAAGAGGATCTTGGAGTAGACGTGGGGCTTTGTTGATCATGATTTTCCTCTTCTGGTATTTCCTCTAGTTGGACAGTAGTTGTCTTTCTTTCAACTTTTTCTGTCTCCCAATTCCAAGAGGCTTGCTCGTCAAACTCCACATCTCGACTTGTCACCAACTTCTTTGTCTCGAGATTGTAGATTCGATATCCCTTGGATTTGGAGCTATAGCCAAGGAAGATGCCCTTCTCTGTCTTGTCTTCTAATTTGTGCCTTTTAACAGAGGGAACATGAATGTAGCATATGCTTCCGAAGACCTTCAAATGTTTGGCTGAAGGCTTTTGTCCCGACCATGCCTCACTAGGTGTTTTGTTTAAAACCGCCTTAGTTGGACACCGGTTTAGAAGATAGACTGAAGTATATACTGCCTCTGCCCAGAACATTTTAGGCATTCCTTTTTCAGCTAACATAGACCTTGCCATCTCCATGACTGTGCGGTTCTTCCTTTCGGATACCCCATTTTGTTGTGGAGTGTATGCTACTGTTAGTTGATGCTCTACACCTTCATCTTCACAGAACTTGTCAAATTCTTTTGAGTTGTATTCGGTACCTCGATCGCTTCTCAACTTCTTGATTTGATGACCACTCTGTTTCTCCACGAAGTTCTTGAATCTCTTGAATATTCTAAAGACTTCGGATTTTTCTTGGAAAAAATACACCCATGTCATCCTAGAGTAATCATCGATGAAGAGTATGAAGTACCTATTCTTCGAAACTGAGGCGTGCGCATTGGACCGCAGACATCGGTGTGGACAAGCTCTAGTAACTGTTTGGCTCTCCATG